TATTAAAAGGCACTCAATGATAGCGTGTTGTTGGTACAWAAGTAGCMGAGCTCACRATCGATAGACGATGTAATCCCCGAAAATATCCGAATTGTGTACGAAGTGCAATCGATAATTTAGTTGCTTACAGATTTGCAACAGTATAACATAGTAGTTCTGCAATCTAGGACTTGAGTAACCACAAAAACTTTAACGTTTAATGTGATTTCTTTGTCTTGGTAAATTTGAAAAAGAACATTCACAGATACATTTCTTATGCATGTTTTCTCTTTGTTATCGTTTTGAACTTTTTCCCAGATCCTGCTAGAGTATTAGTTTCCCCAAAAAATCAGACTCTGATCGAGAATTCAAACGTTACGTTCTCCTGTTACGTGGAAGGGAACCCTGYACCTCAAGTGACGTGGTTTTGGGATGGAAAAACACTCGCTAASTCAGGCAAATATATGATAACACAGCCAACGTCAGAAACCAAATCAAGCTCATCTTTGACTATCATCAATGCGAATCGCACAGATGAAGGACACTATTACTGTAATGCTACAAATGTACTGGGAACTGGTCAGTCCACAAGAGGATTGCTAACAATTCACCGTAAGTCAAATCTTGGAAATGGGAAATGGGTTTTGGCCGTTTTTGGATGGGTGGGAAAAGTTTGTCAGAGGCCCTTCTTCAGCAAGCAGTAGCGAGACATCTTTGACAATGTTTTGGATGGGTGGGAAAAGTTTGAATTCATGAGAAATGGGAGATTGAAATCAGATTTGGCCAGGAAATGTGGGATAAGGTTTGACTTTCTTTCAAAATGATTGAAAGTGCAGAAGTCACTTCGACTGCAGATCCAGGGGGTCCTACGTTTGCTACACTGGTATGTGTTTTCTTTTGTTTTGTCTGAAGCTTGAAAAATCGAAATTTTTTAGGTCAGGTTTTTCAGGTCCGCGCGGCATCCCCCTTCCCGCCGGTCTAAAGATTTTCAATGTGGTTTCTTTTTTTCAACTTGCGTGATTTTTTACGTTCCTCTAGCTTTCTCTAAAAGCTGATATTTTTCCACAAATACGTGAATTATATTTTTTGGCGTTATTCTTTGTGTTATTTTCCGTTTTAGTTTGTGAATAATAATTTTCGTAAGCTTCGTCGAAACAGACATTTTTCTTCCTTCCGGCGCAAAACGAAAAGTTGCTCTAATTTGAGGCACTCTTTCTAAAGGTATCACCGTCCTTATGATGTCAACGCTTCAGTTCATCCTGCATAATGATTCTTATTATTACTAATGATTATTGTTAATTATTGCTCTAATATTGATTCCTATATTTTCTTACTAATTTTTTTCGATCGATGTTTTTTTTTAAATTTCATGTTATAAATACCTGAAAGATTAATTTGTGTACTTTTATCTGAATTGCGATTGTGATCCTTTCTAGAACCCTTTTATGACTTCATTGACATTTCTAGCATTCAAGAGTTCATAAGAACTGACGAGAATTGTTCATTGACGTGTGAAAAGAGGTCCTTTATATTACGTCAAAACACACAACGAATGTGTAATACCTTGGTTTTAATGAAGTCTGTAGTTTCATTAAAATCTTATGGCAATAAATAATGTAGTAGAAATTGTTATTTACATTTCTTTGATGTTATTATGAAGAGTTTTTCAGCATTCACGAAACTGATGATTATGAATATTSATGCCAAAATCTCACTGACGTAAAAAATAACTAAATACTTTAGCCGAAATAATATTATACTATACTTCAAGGTGTTATTCAATTAGTTTTATCCTTTTTTACGTTTTTCATTTCGATTTTGATTTATTTTGCGCTCATTTCATGCTCGGTTAATTATAGCCGTGATGACAAGCTGTGCGAGTTTCTTTGAAGCAATGTTGTACTTCCACATTTATCTAAATTTTGGATATCTTCTTTTCCACGATTTTGAGTTATTTTCCTGACTTAGATTCAAGGTCCAAGTAMATCGGAAACATTCTCATAAAGTTACTTAAAAATCGAAGTATTATATATAACGATGACGTCAAGCGGTTAGATATTCATGCGTKGGGGGAGGTGACGGGTAAGCGTTAGTAAATACAACTATGCACCGTTCGACGTACAATGGCAGGAATAAGCTCAAGGAAGTTATCTTTTTTATGTATATATTCTAAAGTTATCGTTTGTATTTATATTTCATTGTGCGTATGGAGTATCACTGGTGCTGGTAAGTCCATTGGAAAGGAATYCAGYKTAGAATTTTGAGTATAGTTTCACTRCTTGGAGGTTGTGTAGTGGTGATTCCAAAGTTGTTTCGATACACTAGTGTTTAATTCCTGGTTTGTTGCAGTGCTAAWGTCGAGCTTCTAGACGCTAAAAATAGCGTTTATCTAGATTATRTATGCTCTTGATAACCTCCGACTTCAATTATTACCTCGATGTAACATTTCATGTTGAAATTTACCGCGAAAACGCAGAATCTGTTTCAATTAATATAATTACACTGTATTGACAGAACAGTGGACGCTTCCATCTTCAAGGAGTTGCGTTCGATCACGTCTTCTAGAACGATTGACACACTGTCAAGGAAGATTTCGCTTTTGATTTTTTCGATTGGGATAAACCATAAATGCAGTATACTTCTTATTCGTAGAGGAATTGTTTGCGTGTATTATTATATTATTCTTGTTATCTTAGAACATTCGATATCTTATAGACTTTATTTTACTTATGGCCAAAAAGTTTATTTAAGATTCTGGTCAAAGTGTCACGAGGTCTAGACTTAGATTGTACAATGTTAGATCATATTTCTTTGCAAAACTTTTATTAACTTTTGAAATATTTGAAATTGCTCATTRAACTTTATGCAAATTTATAATATCTGAGGACGATGTTGATCATAATAGTGGATCGTATTACTGAATTGCTGAGCTTAAAGGTTTTCAATTTTGTTTAGGGATATTTATTATGATATATATCTTTTAAATGAGAGACTTCATGTACAAGTAGTTGTAATTTTGTAAGCATAATGAACGTCACAGATTCTACAATAATAATATTATTGTAATATGGTATACAGAAAATTCAGATGATTACATCTTCTAGCCTTCTAATCTATATATTTCCCTTTTAATGTCTAGTCTGAATGACAAGCTAAAAACTTTTTGTGTAATACAGTTTAATCTCTTTCCAAAATTTAATTAACAACCAGCCCATGATGATATTTGATCACATAAAAGTCAAAGATTAGTCAAATATCTGCAGGAAGTTAACAGACTCACCTTTTTCATCATCCAAATTTCCTGTCTCAGTTTGACTGACAAGTGAAATCTTTCTAATATCTTTTCAACCCAATGTGTACTCAGCAGAAACTTCCATTATTACATCAATTACAAAGAAAATTCAAGTTTTATGCTACACGATATTGAAGGAATCAGGCTTATTCATCATCTAGTACCTTCTAAAGTACCTGATTGACAAGTCATATTTTTCATGAATAGTGATGATTTTTCATTTAAAAAGCAAGACATATTGGAAAAAACAATATCTGGATCCCCTAATTTTGATGAAGTTCACAAATTGTTTTATAGCATGTAGCTGACGTGATATGTTGATCGTTAGAGGAAGTACCATTATTGAAGATACAGTGTTGTATCTTGAACTCCTGTTTTGACTCGTTTAAAAACTATTGCATGTTTGTGTTTAGAATTGTTTGAAAATACATTTTATTTGTATGTAAATGTCTGATTTAAATATTATGTTTGACTTTGGTTTTGGACAGATAATGGTTTAACTGTACAAGAATACAATATCATTAAATTAGACTTGATCATAATCCTACCTCTTCGGCTGCGCATCAATTATTAGATAATATAATGAGCAAGGAATCAGGGGAAAATATTGTGTCAAGTAGCTTTCATTTTTCAAAATATGGTTGAATATCTTATCTACCTGTTCTAATCTTAGATGGTGCTAATATCACAAGTACTCCCAAAAATGAAACAAGAAATGAAGGGAAGACTGTAACATTTGTGTGTAAGTTTGAGGGAAATCCAGAGCCAACAGTATCTTGGAAAAGCATTGGAAAAGATTTGTCAAATAATAGAATTAATATCACCACATTAAATGGTGGTGGACAAGGCAACTCTACTTTGACCATCACAGAAATCAAAAGGGATGATGAAGGGACATATACATGCTCTGTAAATAATGCAAATGGTACAGATGAATCATCATTCTACTTGACTGTCAACTGTAAGTACCCTTTTTGATTTCACTTTCCAGATTCTTGTGATTTGAAAGAAAGGGAGGTAAAAACATCAAAAATAGATGTTTTTTATATAGTACCTGGCTCAGGCTGTTTTTTTTTCTCTAATTTTGTTGTTATGATGTCAGGGGCAGATCCAGGATTTTCCTCAGGGAGGGGTGTGGGACACTCAGTAGGGGGTGCACCCCACAAAAAATCATGACCATGAAGATATAAAATAAGGAAAGTATTGAAGGACACAGATCTTGGGGGGAGGGGGGGGGGGGATTGTGCACCCCGTGCACCCACCAGCTTGATCTGCCCATGGATGTACATTTATAAGAACTTTCTCAAATTAAGGCAGCATTGTCTAAGCCAGAGGGTAATATTATTACATAAGCTGAATTTCTAGTTGGAAGGAGACTGTGAGGGGAAAAATTTTGTAGGTGCAGGTTTCCTGATTGCATCTCTCACTAAATGCTTTATCTTTCTTGGAAATATGATGTCAGAATGAACAATAATTCATTGATGGCATGGGAGGTTCTGATAACTCCTGTGGACAAGTGCTAAATGTGCTTAGTTTGCTCCTCTCATTGATGTCCTCTGTATGCATGAAGTCAGAGTGAGATTAGTTCCAGGATGTCGAGTGTTAATGAAGTGATGGCTTATTAATTGTACAAATTGCAAGAGATTTGAATTTTCATTAATGCATGATGCTATCAGTGCTAATGATATGTCTTGAAATGATTTTTTTTTGTATTGATTTGCATTTTTTTTCACTAGATGCACCAAAGATTCTCAAACCACCATCTGCAGTCACCAAGACAGAGACAGAAAATGTTGAAATCTCCTGCCAGTTTGAGAGCAAACCTATGGCTAATTCAGTGGATTGGTTTGTAGATGAAAAGAAACTTGACCTCAACTCCAATTCCAGTTCTAACAGACTAAAAGTTGTTCAAACAGGAGATGTTAAAAATGCCACATCTTCACTTACCATCAACAATCTGAACAGAACAGATGAGGGCAACTACACATGTGTTGTCAGCAACATTGTCAAATCAAATGTTGCTTCTGCTGCAGCAATGCTAATTGTCCACTGTAAGTATGGCAGTATATTTTTTTGCAAATTTTGTACGGTTTTGTTGTTCTCTTATGGACAGTACACTCATGTTTAAAACTTATACCAAATGGTTTCAAAGTTTTGGACAATTAAAACTTCAAGTGTGTCAATATTTTGATTTTTACCACATCATCACAGACGTACGTAACCAGATTAAATGTTCATTTCTGCTAGATCAACCTGCTAAATTATATAATTTACCAACGAAGTCAATATGGATCCATCATCAATCAAACGATTAACTACAAACTTTGAGTCGGAATTTTCCAATAGTCTTACAGGTAGCAGTGCTTTTTTACATTTAATTGAAATGTGTTCTTTGTAGATCGTTCCAAGATCCTCACCAATCCAAGTAATGAGACCAGAAATGAAGGACAGAGAGTAACATTGTGGTGTGCGTACGAGGGAAATCCACCACCAACTGTAGCATGGACAAAAGATGATACATCATTGTCCAACAATAATATCAACATAAGTACCAACGCCTATGGTAAGGGACAATACAACTCTACTCTGACCATCAGCGATCTCAAAAGGGGCGATGAAGGGACATATAGATGCACAGTAAACAATACAAATGGAAAAGATGAATCAAACCGTAATGCTGGATTCGTAAATGTTCAATGTAAGTATCTGAGATTCCTTTTGTCAACCTACAACAGTATATATGTTTAACCTTTTTTCCAGGAATTTACAGGAAATGCACATAATGCACTAGTCAACTGAAACCCACCGGGGCTAGCGGGGCACTGAATGGGGACGTGGCGCGTTTTTAACGTGCTTTTAACAGCGAGACTTCCCCGGGGGTCGGGTTTTTGATGAATTGTTATCGAAGCGGGGCAAAGAGCGGGGATTTTAACGCGCCCTTGAAAGTGTATGAAAGTTTTTAAAAGAAACTTAAAATACACATGTTTTTCTCCGTCCAGTTAGCCACATGTAGTACGCAAATGAGTACACAGGATTGTGCAAAAGTTAACCCTGCTTCTTTTTGCTGAACTTTAGCAAGTTTTTCTTGAATTCAAGTGAATGGAATTCCTAAATATTTACTATTTAAACTCCTGTGAGGACATTTGGCCTCGTTTCCATTCCTTTGTTTTCTATTGTTTCCAACTCATTTTCGCCTTAACTGTAAGCATCTAGAAAAGACAAAAGTAACGTATTCTGACTTTATGACTCTTATTTTTAGTTAAGCCTGAGATCTTCGTGAATCCAAGAAATGAAACAAGAAATGAAGGGCAAAGTGTAACATTGTGGTGTGAATTGAATGCCGGGGATCCATCAGCAGAAATAACTTGGATGAAAAATGGAACGGCCATAAAAAGTGATAACAGAAGACCTATTACCAGTGTGGGTGGACTTCGTGTTAACACTACTTTGACTGTCAAAAATATTACCAGGGAAGATGAAGGAAACTATACTTGTAGAGCAGATAATCAAGTTGGCAATGTGGTATCGCTTAATGGATTCTTGGATGTTGACTGTAAGTATCATTTTAGAAATAGTGCATTTGTTTACTGTACTGTATATTCTGTTCATAAGTTCATGATTACAACCAAGAAATCCTTTAAACACTTGATGTAAAAGACCCCATTGAATCTGGTCGTTTCTTACTGCAAACGCCAATCGTCAAATTGCTTTTATGCTTTGTCTCAAATTTTCAAACAAACGTAAAAGGAATAGTGATGCGCTTATGCACGAAAAAGTGATCTATTTTATACACAATCGCGAAAGAACGGAGCGTTAACACAGAAAAACAGTGATCACGTGATCAGTTTTGACGTTTGGCGTTCGCTGTAAACGCGCATCTATAAAACTCTTTCTTGTGTAGCATGGGAACGGTACTACAGTCATCGTCATCAAGTAGATTTGGTACATTTCTTTACCCGTTTCCTTCATTTCTGATCACCATCATAATTCTACCGTGCTGTGTATCTCAGTATTATTATGTTTCTCAAGCCCATTATTTGTCGAATTTCTAAGTAAATTTATCGTCAACAAGATGTTAACCCGGTCGAGGGTTTGAAAGCCTAAAGAGAATTAGGTCCATTTTAAATAGTTGTGCACATGTTAAACAAACTAACTTGATTATGACGTGAATTGAAGTCGAAATCAGCTGTAAGACATCAGCACTTACTGGTTATCTGTGTGAATTTTACCAATTTTGGGTAGTTTCAACAACAGGCAGTTCATACAGTGTTAGTTTTGGGCTTAATTCTTTCTGGGTACGTTTCTACGAGGGTTTTTTCCTCTAGCTAGATGTGAACAAGGAAATATTATAGCTGCATGCATTATTTTTTGTTATAACACCTTTTATTCTTGGCAATAGAGTTTTAGAATAGAATTCTATAAGAGTAATGAACATCAGGAAAATAACAAAGTGTAGCATATTTGATGGAATTTGATGGAAAACTATTACTAACCAGAGATAATGAGAAAAAACAAAACTGCCGAATTTTAATGCACTCTTTTTGCATTTTCCAGATGGTGCTAAGGTGTTAGTTTCGCCAAAGAGTCGGACCATCATCGAGCATTCCAGTACTACATTGCTTTGTTACGTTGAAGGAGAACCAAAATCTCAAGTGACGTGGCATTTTGATGGAAAAACACTCGCTAACAAACCTGGCAAATATGTGATAACACAGCCGTCTTTAATAACCAACTCAAGCTCATCTTTGACTATCATCAACGCGAATCGCACAGATGAAGGACACTATTACTGTAATGCTACAAATGAGTTAGGAAGCGATGAATCTACAAAAGCATCACTAACAATTCACTGTAAGTATATTCCTTTTAAGTCTCACTCTGCCCTGAAAGGTTTCCTTTTATATAAGCGTCTATTAACTTGTTCGGCACGGCTTTTGCGATTTCCAGTCATTTGTGAAAACTGATACCATGTTAGAAAGAAGTGATTTACCTTATATAAATAGCTAGATATTTGTTCAGAATTGAGTCTAAAACTCAGTAGTAACATTGAAATTGTCTTATATTGAAATTGCTTTACTTGTATCTATTTGCAATTCCCATCTTAGACCCTCCCAAGATCCTCACCAATCCAAGTAATGAAACCAGAAATGAAGGACAGAGCGTAACATTGTGGTGTGTGTACGAAGGAAAGCCGCAACCAACTGTAACTTGGACAAAAGATGGAGCAACAGTGTCAAGTAATAATAAAAACAAAATAAGTACAACCTCCAAAGGTGGGGGACAATACAACTCTACTTTGTCCATCAGCGATCTCAAAAGGGATGATGAAGGGACATATAGATGCACAGTAAACAATACAAATGGTACAGATGTATCTCTTCCTAATGCTGGCTACTTAAATGTTAACTGTAAGTATTTGTTATTAGAAATCTTTTGAAAAACTAAAAAAATGTACATTGTGTGTCCATTTTGCTGTAGTCTGAGCCAATCATATTGCAGGATTTGCTAGTGATTTCAAAATGAATATAATAAAGAGTAATATATATCTACTCATTCGAATACTGTAACATTCACTGATGTAAATATGGGAATATGTTTGGTCTTGTGTTTAGATATGCATGGCATCTTTGTCGACCCAARAAATGAAACAAGAAAAGAAGGACAGAGTGTAACACTTTGGTGTGAATTGGATGGAGACCCATTACCAACTATAACATGGATGAAAAATGGAACCTCAATACAAAGTACTGCTAGAAGATCCATTGTCAAACCAAGTGTTGTTGGACGTGCCAACACTTCCCTGACTATCAAAAATATCACCAGGGATGATCAAGGGACCTACAAATGTTCAGCAGTTAATGTAGCTGGTACAGTGGTATCTAGTCCTAGTGCAGGTTACCTAGAAGTTATTTGTAAGTGTCATTTCTTACAAGTTAATTGACATGTATTGAATATGTAAATAAAAAAAGAGGCGACGAACTCTTTATATATTTTGTTTATGTATACATAGTGAAAAACCTATTAGTCGAGATATCCAAACCTAAGCCTGACTGAGACTATGATTTTCATTCAGCCTTAATGTTTGCATTTTCCAGATGATGCTAAGGTGTTACTTTCGCCAAAGAGTCGGACCATCATCGAGCATTCCACCACTACATTCTATTGTTACGTTGAAGGAGAACCAAAATCTCAAGTGACGTGGCTTTGGGATGGAAAAACACTCGCTAGCAAGTCAGGCAAATATGTGATAACACAGCCGTCGCTAATAACCAACTCAAGCTCATCTTTGACTATCATCAATGCAAATCGCACAGATGAAGGACACTATTACTGTAATGCTACAAATGGACTGGGAACCGATGAATCTACAAAAGCATTGCTAACAATTCACTGTAAGTATATGCTTTTAAGTCTCTGAAAGGTTACCTTTTATATAAGCGTCTATTAACTTGTTCGGCACGGCTTTTGCGATTTCATTTGTGAAAACTGATACCATGTTAGACAGAATCGTTTTTTCTTATATATAAAAACTGAGATTTTTGATCAGAATTGAGTCTAAAACTAGTAACATTGTATAACTCGAAGTTTTATATTAAAATTGCTTTACTTGTATCTATCTATCTACCTTCCGTTTCTGTGAGGTATTTTTCTAGTTACATGTGAACATGACACCTTTTATTTTATCTAGTTACATGTGTTATGACACCTTTTATTCTTGGCAATAGTGTTTAGGAATAGAATCCCATAAGAGTAATGAACATCAAGAAAATAACAAAGTTTATTTTTTTTTCGGTCCTGTATCCTAGTTATTCGCGCGCTAGCCAAGTGATTGGCTAGCGCGCGGTCCGGTTTTTCACGATAGAGAGCTTTAGCATGACGTTCACGGCAAACGCCAAACGGCAGAAAAGATCACGTGACCTGCTTTTTTTGAGTTTAACGTCGCAGTTTCAACGAGAGAGCGGGTTATTTTGAGGTTGCCGTAATCGTGAAAAGCCGCTCTTTCAAATGACTACCAAAAGCACAAGGTCGGGCATGAAATTCTTAGGTCATTGGTTCAGCTCTGCCGTTAGCCGTTTGCCGTCAACGTGATGCTAAAACTCTCTGATCTGCCTGGTCCGACGGTATCCTGCAGCTAGGCTGCGAGCAAAGTTGCATAAAATACAAATTAAAAAAATAAAAATGTTATTTACCGGCAAAAGGTCGGTCCGTATAGAAAAACACTGGCCTTAGTCTTTTATGTGCAGACCTCGCTGCGCTCGTTCCAAACTGTCAGACCTCGGGCAGTGTTTTCCTATACGGACCTCCCAGCCGGTAAATAACATATATGTAGTATATTTGATGGAATTTGATTGAAAACTATTACCAGAGATAATGAGAAAAAGACCCAAAACCTCAAAATTTAAATACACTCTTTTCATTTCTAGATGTTGCTAAAGTATTAGTTTCTCCAAAAAGTCGGACCATCATCGAGAATTCCGCGGTTACATTCTATTGCTACGTCGAAGGAAAACCAAAATCTCACGTGACGTGGCTTTGGGATGGAAAAACACTCGCTAACAAGTCTGGCAAATACGTGATTACACAGCCGTCGTCAGAAACCAAATCAAGCTCATCTTTGACTATTATCAATGCGAATCGCACAGACAAAGGACACTATTACTGTAATGCTACAAATAAGTTAGGAAGCGATGAATCTACAAAAGCATTGCTAACAATTCACTGTAAGTTTGTCTCTGTATATCATGACAGGTCTCTGTATTAACATTCATGAGAGTTTCAATAGCGGATTTGCATTATGGCGTCATTTACTACAACTACCAGAATGCTATGCCAACTTTCTTTTGTAATGCAATTAGTGCCAATTGTTTTATTAATCTCCAAGGGGATAAAAAACCTGAATAACAATGAAAATGCGCAAGGCTCTCTGGTAGTTGTAGTAAAGTTACGTCATAATGCAAATGGGCTATTGGCTTGAATTTCTACAATATCTTCTTTGTCATTGAATTGAGGCTGATACGAGTCCATGGATTACAGAACTCGAGCGCAGTGTCGAATAAACTTTTCTAAACTTCTCTTAATCGTTTTATTGAAATGTGTCCTTTGTAGATCCTTCCAAGATCCTCACCTATCCAAGTAATGAGACCAGAAATGAAGGACAGAACGTAACATTGTGGTGTGTGTACGAAGGAAAGCCGCAACCAACTGTAACTTGGACAAAAGATGGAGCAACAGTGTCAAGTAATAATAAAAACAAAGTAAATACCACCTCCAAAGGTGGGGGACAATACAACTCTACTTTGTCCATCAGCGATCTCAAAAGGGATGATGAAGGGACATATAGATGCACAGTAAACAAT